TAACTGTCACTTCTTAAAAGCGTATCATCACATAATAAAAAGAGCAATAAAACATATTAGTGTCTTCCATGCTTTTTCACAAGTGCATTTTAATGGGGAAAATTTTACCAACATTGTTTTTCCTACAGAACACTTATTTACAGTACACTAAAATTCTGCAGAACACATTGGAGGAAATGCGGGGTTACACAGTCTCTCTGAGTGCTCTGAGCTAAAACCCCTATGACTGTTCACTCTATGTGAGTGATGGGGGGGCTGCCTGGAGAGGAATTTCTGCAGGCCTGGGTCTGGCCCTTGGGACCTGGGGTCAGACAGGGTCCTCACTACAGAGAAGAAAGCATTGACCCTTTAGCTAACAGTCTCTGTTCATCACTGAGGTTAGTATCAAGGAAGTTTAACCTTCCCCCAGAGATCCTGCAGGTTTCGGAAGACATGGGATCTTTAGAGGAGAGAAATAGAGAAAGGCCCTCTCCCAGTGGACATTAAGAAGGCAATGGGAACAAAATCGCCCTGTTGGCTCATCCTGGGAGGGCCGAATGGCCACCAAATAGGGAGGCTTGCTTAGCAGGAACAACTACTGGACTGGAGGGAATATACCTGCAAATAGTCATGCAGACTATTTAAAAGCCAGGGCTGAGCTTGGGGCTAAAGCAGAATAAAAGTTTCCTGGATTGCCTTCTCCTCAACTGTCAATCCAAGAAGCGAATCCCAGGTCCGGATTAATCCTGTCACACATAGGTCCAATATGGTTACTTCACAAGGGATATCCCTTCCCACTGCAGTCAAATGGACCCAGAAATAAAGATTCCTAATTAGGGTTGCAAACAGTTTCACCACAGCCCAGAAATGTAATAGTCACTATCTGCACCTTGCTCATATCCCAGGGATCTAACCCAGAGGTCATCTGGAGACATTCCCCTACATGTTGACTTCCTGCATCTCTCTCTGCCTAGAGCTTTCTCTGGCCACTGCTGTAAGTTCTATTGAGTTAACAGCCCTGGCGTGACCCTCAACAAGTGAGGGGTTGGACTGGAAGATAAAAACCCAGTAACCATATCCTTCAGTGAAACAATTCTGAGCCCTAGTTGCCCATATAAGTAATCTGCTCGTAAAAATACTGCTTTCTTCTTCCTATTTACTTTTTCACTCTTTTATGAGATTCCTGAAGTTAGCTCTCAGAAAAAGTACTTGCACCCACGTTTGTCTCAGGGCACCATGTAAAGATGCTGGGCAAAAGATGGAAAAAGAGAGAATAATTTTTTTCATGGGATCCCAAATTCAGAGCTATCTCTTCCAATTGGAAAGATGTGGGAGAAGGACTGGGCCTTTCTACCTACACCACATCACTATAAAATCCCACCAGTGGGCACAGTGTCACCCTCAACTCTGAAAACAACCTTGTCCTTGGCCAGAGGGATTCATGGTGGTCCAGTACAATTATGGACATCTGGCATCAAGTCAGCCTCATGGCTGAGTCTGCTTTGACCTCAAGCATCTAGAAATCTGACTTAGTCCTGTTCTCAATCCTCACCATTGTACTCCAGTGTCACTGAGGGAATCCCTGCATTGTTCCTCTAAAACTGAATCCTGCAACTCAAATTTGGTTCCAACATATAAGTAGCTTTTCTCCTTTAGACAGAGGAGAGAAAGTTAGCTTAGTCCTTGTTACTCAAAAGAGAAGAATTAAAGACATTGACTGGATGCAATAAAATCAGCAGTGTTTGAATGACTATTGCATAAGTTCATCATGTTAATTAGGATGTGGACACACGAAACATAGAACTTCTAGGAGAGAAGGAAATAGGAAATAGATGTTCAATCCCATATGTGAGTTGACTTTGAAAAGTTCCCTAAGAGACAGACCAAGTACAAATGGGCAGGAGGAAAGGGAGGGAGGCAGGAAAAGTCATGGGGGGAATTAAGGAAGAGGGATAGTCACAGGTGTGAGAGCTCTTCCCAGGACTACAGTACATGAGAGGACTGCCAAGAGCAAACCAGGTCTCCCTCATATGGGTATGGGAACAAGAGCTGCTTCTAGGTCAGGGGGAAGCCAGCAGGGTCTCCATTATAGGGATTTTAGATTCAAGTGCTGCCTCTACCAGCATCTGCTTGACTTTGGGGTGTGCTAAAAAGCTTTAAAAAGTCACTGGACTCAATAATATCTTTGCTTCCTTAAATTTCTATGATTGGATCTGTGATTTTTGCTGCACTTTCCTAAACAAAATGTTCTTTAGTTTTTCAGTTCCTGAGCTTTGTAGTTACCTTGATCTATTGTTTACTAAATGACAGGCACTGTACTAGACTCTGGAGAATTGATGCTGAACAGAATACATATGTTCCCAGCCCTCACCTAGCTTACAATTTAGTAGAAGAAATATAAAAGCAAACAGAAATTACAAATCAGAGGTTTATAGAGAAAGTGCAGAGAGTTATGGAAGCATGAAACTGGAATCCTAATACAGACTTCATATAGGATCAGAAAAGGAGGAAGTTGTCTCAAAGCCAAGAGTTAAAAAATGAGACAGGATTGGCAAAGAAAAGTGGGAAGATAAATTCAGGCAAAGGAAATAGAACAATGAAAAGACTTAAGATGAAAAACAATGGGTCAAACTCAAGGAGAAACTAATAAAAGTAGTATGGCTGGTGACTACAGTGTTGGAGAGGCAAGCCCACAGTTTGGGATTTCTTAAGTGCTATGGGGAGATTTAGAAGGATATTAAACAAGGATGTAGTATAACCATATCTGCATTTTAGAAAGATCATATGGTTACAGTTGCAGAGTGGATTAGAAAGGATTAAAAGGGAAGCAAACTGACCCATAGGAAGCCATTGGGATGACAGTAGCTGGACAAATACGATGGAGTGGTTGGACAGATGTGGAGAGAAGATACGGAGGAAACGGAATCAACAACACTTGATGACTGATTGTATATGAATATGAAACATAAAGGACATAACAATGACACCCAGGTTGTGGGTAGCCATTGGGATGACAGTAGCTGGACAAATACGATGGAGTGGTTGGACAGATGTGGAGAGAAAATACGGAGGAAACGGAATCAACAACACTTGATGACTGATTGTATATGAATATGAAACATAAAGGACATAACAATGACACCCAGGTTGTGGGTAGGCACAGAAATAGACGTTTGGTGCCAGCAGAGGGAGTGAGCCATAGAGGAAAGGCAAGGTGGAGAGATAATAGTGAGTTCATTTGGGGGCATGTTGAGTGTGAGGTGCCATGAGACCTCAAGTGGAGATGCCAAGTGAGGATCTGAGCCCCAAAGACATATGAAAGCTGGAGATAAAGACCCTGGAGTCATCTGCATATAGGTGAGAATTGAAGACATAGGAATGGATGAGATGCTACCAGGAGATTGTGTCCAACAGACCTGGTTTCAGTACCTGTTCCACCACTTCTTAGTAATGTGATCTTAGAAAATTAAATTTTTCTGCTCTGGTTTCTCATTTATGTATTGGAGATAATACCTCATAGGGTACAGTGATTGTTAATGTGACCCTGCATGCAGAGTGCTTAATCCAGTGTCTGGAACATAATGTAATCTCAGCAAATGCTAGTTATTATCAATGCTGTTGTTATTGTTATTATTTAAAAAAAACATAAAAGAGAGTGCCAAGATTCAAAAGCATGTATGGGAGAAGATGAGGAAGAGGAGATTGAGAAGACAGAAAGTTAGGAAAACCAGGAGAGTGTCACAGCAGCCAAGGAGAAGAGAGTATTTCAAGGAGAAAGTGGTCAAAATGGCCAATAGGACCACCAGGATAAGAACTGAGAAGGGTCCCCTGAATTTAGCCATAAGAAGGTCTCTGGTGTACTTGCAAGGAATAGTTTTAATGAGATAGAGGGCAGAGGCCAAGCTGCAAGCATTGAAGAGTGGCTGGAGACAGTGAGCGGAAATGAGTGGGAGAAGGGAACCCCATCTGGATAGGTTGTGCATCAAGTGAAAGTTTTTAAGTCTGAAGTAGAGTTATGCATCTCTAAATGCTGATAGGAAGGAGCCAGGAGACAAGGAGGTAGAGAAAAATGAGGTAGCAAGGGGAAAATATTCTAAGCAGAGGGAAAAGATTGGTCTTCGCCAGAATGAGGGATGATACCTCCCTGTTGTGATAGGAGAGAAGGAGGAAAGAAGAGTGCAGATGTAGGCAAATTGGAGGTTTGGTGGCATGAAGTCAAGGAGTTCTGTTTTTCTCCATGAACTAGGAAACATGGTCACTTACTGCAAGAGGAGACAGGGACTAGTCAGAAAACATGAAGGGTATTTGAAGTCTCAGACTAGGAGAAACTGCTGACTAAGGAAACCATATGATTCTTAGGCAGTACTGATGTTCCTCATCATCCCTCAGCAGTTCAGATTCAAAAAATCTGACTTAGACTGCTCTAGATTGTCCTAGGCATGGGATTTAGGATAAGGATAAGGGAGTGGCTAAAATGGTGGACCATGGGTCTGATCTAGCTATGAAAAGAAGTGTTCAGCCATGGACAAAGAGAAAGTAACCTGGAGGTCCAAATGAAGTTCAAACAGGAACAAATGTTGAAAATGTCAATAAATAAAAGGTTGTGGTCAGAAAGTAGAATGAGACTTAAAGCAGATCATGAACCAAAACCTTTGAAGAATTCAGGAAAGTGCCTAGAGCTCAGTGGTCCTAGAAATGAGGAGAGAGGGCAGTATGGCTGCATCTGGTACTGGTGGTGGGATGTTACAAAGTGGGGAATTATCCGTGACTTAGACATGCAAGGGAAGCAAAGACATGACCCCGAGGTACCTGGAATAGGATGGAATAAATAGCCTCCCCTGAGAGCATTGCAGAAGAATGGGGTCCTGGGAGGATCCCAGTGTGAGTTAAGAGAGGAGCTGGAGGCAAGGGTAGGAGGAGCTGTTCTAGCAATCAAGGGATGGATGGGAGGCAGAGGGCCAATGGGCAAACTGTCACCTTTCTGTGGTTATGTCCACTCTCAGAAGAGTATGAATGAGAAGATGGAATTCCCCCTTGGGTCACCGGAAACTACCAACTTCCGTCGGTTTACTCAGGAGTCACTGGTGGAGATTGAGAAGCGAATTGCTGCCGATCAGGCAGCAAAGAAAGTCAGAAACAAGTACAGGGGGCGGAAGGACAGAGAAGAAAAGCCTCGGCCTGAGCTAGACTTGAAAGCCTGCAACCAGCTGCCCAAGTTCTATGGTGAGCTCCCAGCAGAACTGATTGGGGAGCCCCTGGAGGATCTAGATCCCTTCTACAGTACACACCGGGTAAGAGCTACCAGTGGAACGTCTGCTCTCAGCTCTTGCAGAGGAAGTCTCAGTCCCACCCAGCCCAGGGAGTCCTCCTGAACCGTGGGTGATGTGGCAGTGTGTTAAAGACTCTGTTAAGGAAAAATACCTGCTCTCAGCTCTTGCAGAGGAAGTCTCAGTCCCACCCAGCCCAGGGAGTCCTCCTGAACCCTGGGTGATGTGGCAGTGTGTTAAAGACTCTGTTGAGGAAAAATATACTTGAAAGCCTGCAACCAGCTGCCCAAGTTCTATGGTGAGCTCCCAGCAGAACTGATTGGGGAGCCCCTGGAGGATCTAGATCCCTTCTACAGTACACACCGGGTAAGAGCTACCAGTGGAACGTCTGCTCTCAGCTCTTGCAGAGGAAGTCTCAGTCCCACCCAGCCCAGGGAGTCCTCCTGAACCGTGGGTGATGTGGCAGTGTGTTAAAGACTCTGTTAAGGAAAAATACATCTAACTTGCCTCTTTGATGCTCTCTTTAAATCATTGTTACATTTATGATAGAGACTAATTAAACCCAAAGCCTAAAAGCAGACAACTGCTGCAGAGCTTGCAGATAAAGTTGGCTGTTACCTTGGGTGAGCTCTGGCCTAAGGCTCTCTGCAGGTGGAAAGCAGATATCTAGAAGTTGGGGGAGGGGAATGTGGGGAAGAGGGAAAGAAAGCAGGATGATTTAAGCCAGTGGTCCTCAAAGTATAATCTTGGAATGACTACAGTCTTCAAATCCTTTTAGTAGGTTCATGAGGTCAAAACTATTTGATAACAATACTTCAATGTCATTTGTCTTTTTTACTCACATTCTCTTATAAATATACAGTGGTGAGCGTAGAGGTTACTGATGGGGATGATGTCATCACTGTAACAGCTGCTGCAATGTGTGCTTGTATATTCCTGTTTTAAATATTTCTAAGTCTTTAATTTCTAACATGAGATATATATGTACACACATATTACATAAATTATACATGCACATATATGTGTGTACTTATATGTTAGTTTTTAATATGATATAGACATACATACATATATATGGTATAAGCAAAATGGTATAAATATAAACAAAAGCTCTTTGGGGTCCTCAGTAATTTTCAAGATTAACACTTTTTGAAATCAAAACTCTTGAGAACCACTAGTTTAAACAAGAGCTGCTCCATGAAAATTGCCTCATCTGTATCTTATCTTAGATATTCTACACAGCCAAAAAAAAAAAATGGTGAATGCATGTTTGGAAGTTAAGAGGAGCAGGGATCAGCCATCTCAAATATGATTTGTAGATAAAATAAAGGGCACTGGAATATCTTTCTCCCTCCTCTCCCCTGCCAAGAGCCACACCCTCCTAAGTGCTCAGAGGAAAGAAACAGGGGAGGGCTTAAGAGGCAGAGAGTTAGGAGGTGGGATACAGAAGAAATGTCACAGGACTGGGGATGGTCTTCTAGTCAGAAGAGGAATAAATTGCAACCAGAACTCCACCATCCTGCTGCCAGAGTCCTCTCCAAGGCATGATGCATCTTAGCAGCCCCAGGGTCAGTCATCTGTCCACTGAGCACCCTCAGTGGGCCCATCTTGGTAGACAGTCAGCCATGGAGACTGGGATCTTGTGGGAGTGTGAGGATATGGCTTTTAATCCCTTTTCCTCCCTCTCTGCACCTCCGTTTGGCTCCAATGGACCTGTTGTTCCCAGAGTCCTTCTTGCTCATAAACCTAAGATGATGCCACTCAAGCTCAAAAACATGCTTGTGTAAGGATTCTTGTTTCTCACTTGAGATCTGATTTCTGTTGTGTTTTGTTTTAGACATTTATGGTGCTGAACAAAGGGAGGACCATTTCCCGGTTTAGTGCCACTCGGGCCTTGTGGCTATTCAGCCCTTTCAACCTGATCAGAAGAACAGCCATCAAAATATCTGTCCACTCATATCCTTTGCATGGTTGCTTCTTTTACATGTTAGCATTAGGCCTTGCCCATTCTGTCCAGGACCTTCCTGAGAGGTTAGCAATAGAGTCTTCCTCCAATTGAATCTTGAGACAATGAAAAATTAAATTGAAAAAAATTGTTTGTCCCTTTAATGTGTCCAACACCCCAAAGCAGTTCCAAGACACAGAGGAAGTGTCTGTGCAGCCCACAAGTGGTTTGGGACCACCTCAGACTAATATGGACACACCTGTGGTTGCACAACTTGGAAAATGCCCTCTTTATGAGGGGAGTTTTCCTGATGCCCCAGGCACTTCTCACCATGGTATGTAGCCAGCTCTTCTCACAACATAGCAACTAGTAAGAGGGCCCCAAGGCTTCTTCGGGCAGATGAGATAGGCATGAGGTGTTACTCTGTGCCATAGCTGTGCTGGGGAGGGGCTGCTTACAAGGCAGAAGAGCAGTACCTCCCAGAGGGCAAAAAAAAAAAAAAACAGACCATGATGGGCAGAGTACAGATTGTCTTAATTATACCTCATGGGTCACAGGGCCCTGCCAACATCACAAATTACGCCAAAACTACCAGCAGGTTAAAAATGCAGTAGTCTAAGGTTCATGCCATAGGGAAGTATAATGATTAGAGACACAGTGGTCAAATATCTGTATTATATTAATTGCCTTAGGTAGCATCAGAAGCTGCCTTTGGGTTTTTTTTCAAGGCAAGCCAAACTAGTAGAAAAAAGAGACTTTGGCTTGGTTTCCAAGAATCTTCCCTGGTGATCATTCAAACTGAAAGTTCCCAATGACAAATTCAGCCCTGACTTCCAGGAGACAAGCCAAACTAGTAGAAAAAAGAGACTTTGGCTTGGTTTCCAAGAATCTTCCCTGGTGATCGTTCAAACTGAAAGTTCCCAATGACAAATTCAGCCCTGACTTCCAGGAGATTCGTGTGCAAGAAGAGCCCTGCTTCAGTTGCCTGACAGATGGTAGCCAACCTCTTCTTAGGAGGCTTCAGTAAAAGGGACCTCTCCTCCCCCCACCCACACCCCCACACACTGGGGCAGCTTGTTGGATTGCTGGACAGTTATCATTGAGCTAGTAACCCCAGCACAGAGTCATCTGCACACCCAACATGAAACTGCACTGCTTGATGAAGTTGCATTACATTTTCTCTTTCCATGTTTTTTTTCTTTATGGGTAATCAGCAGGAATTATATTTTATGAACTGAATCTTGGATTTCCAGATTCTGCAGAAGGATATTTACTGATAATAGGAGGCTCTCATTTGTTAAGTACTCCCTAAGTGTCAATGCTGTCATAGGTACAAAAGTCTTTGAGGTAGGGTTTAGCATCCCCATTTTACAGATAATGGAATTGACCCTAGGAAGCATAAAGAACAGTGTCCCAGGTCACACAGTTAGTTCAGAAGTCCATCCTGCATTCTGCTAAGAGCAGTATCTGCAATGAGCAAGTGGGCAGTTAATGGAAATGAATTAGGGTAATTATTCTCTCAGTGTGTCAGCTCTACTTGGGTAATTGTTGCTTTTTAAAATATATATATACAATTACACAGAAATTACAAATAAAGAGAATGGAAAACATACAAACTCCTCTCTGTGAATCCTGGTTGATTTTCATCTAGATAAATAAGAAACAGCTAATTAGAAATAAAATCCCTTTAAAAGAACCAAGTGATCAGTGAATATTATTTTCATCTTGAGGTTTGATGAGTAAAAAAAAAATTGCTTGGTGGAATCACAGCAGGACTAAAAAGGTATTGAGGAGGTCTCCTGCTCATAAAAGTCTGCATTTATGTATTAAAATCTCATGAAATGGTAATTCTAGTCCCAAAATATACTCCCATTCTTAGCCAGAAGTCCATTCATTAGTGTGACAGTCTCAGCTAAGTCAGGAAAACAATCTGACTAAAGTAATCCCAAAGAAATCTTGTACCCCTCCACTTATCTCCAGCTTCCTGACTTCTCTTTGTCTTTTAGAATAAAAGAGACATTTGCCAGATGACATTTCAGGCCACCTTGTATAGTGAAATGAAGGCTTCAGAGCAGAAAGACATTTTGGAAATGGGATTCCATTTCCTTCCATCAAACAGATTTGAGTTCACATCTCAGCACCATGGTTGACTAGCTGTATGATCTTGGAAAAGTTATTTAAGTTTTGTCAGCCTGTTTTCTCAGCTTTGAAATGTAGATAATAATATCCACCTGTAGGTTAGTAGTTTTAGAAATAATGCTGACAAAGTACTCAGCCCAGGTTAGGTACTGAGTTCATGTTAGCGGTTGTTATGTGGTAAGACCATAAAGCTAATATTAGCTGAGAGTTATGAAATTAATCATTCAGCATCAAAGTGAGCCTAGATGACATCAGAGAGATTGGTGATGTTCAGTTTTTCCTTAACACAGGCCTCTCAGGTGGTTCAGTTTATTTATTACAGTCACTATTTTGGTCAATTGTGTATACATGACCCAAAATGATATTCCAGAGAAAATTGAGTGAGTAAATTTGCTATTATTATTGTGCCTTCTTCTCCTCTTGTTCTCTTCCCTTCCTTCATGTGCTGGCCTTTTTCTTTTATGTATTCTGTCAGTTCTCATTCAGGCAATACTGAATCCTATTGTCCATTTGACTTTGTAATGATTAGGTTTCTTCTTCTGTTGACTTTGTTTCATAAACGAATAAATGATTTTCAGCTTCAAGGAGGTATAGGTTAATGATTCTGCACACTGGAATCCCCTGGGAAACTTTTAAACTACTAATACCTCGGTCCCAGCCCCAGATGGTCTAATATCATTGGTCTGGGGTGGCCTGGGCATATGACTTTCCCTCTTCCCAACAAACACACACTCACTCACCTGCTAGGTGCATGCATGAATCAAGTTTAGAGAAGGTCTACTCTGAAAGAGAGGCAGGAGCAAGACTGAGACAGAACTAAGACAAATGGTTCTGGAATATACTTAGAAAATAAGCCATGGCTGAAATTGTTTATTTAAGTTATCATGGCTCATACGCTTCAAAGTGACCTTAATATTCCTGAGGTTATTCTATTTCCCTAGGTTAGAAGATGGAACCCTATAGTTTCAGAATATGGTGCCTTTCCAAAAACATCCTGCACCAATACATCTGGAACAGATGCCTCCACCCCAGCTTAAGTCTGACATACCTACAGATGTAATAACAGGAGCTCTGCAAAGCTTTCTCTGTTTCCGACTTTTTTTTTTTTTTTTTTTTTTTGCTAACTGTTAACAGTAATACATGCCACAATAGAGAAATATATTCCATTTCTGTTAATAGATTAAAGGATAAAAATCATTTGGCCATCTTAATTGATACTGAAAAATCATTTGATAAATTTCAATTGCTATTTATGATTTAAAACTCAGAAAAATTGAAAAAGAAGGGAATTGCTTCACACTGATAAAGGCTAATCATTCTTATGTCATACTTAATTGTGAACATGGAAATCTTTCCCTTTGAGATCAAAAGAAAAAGAAAAGGCACAGATGTCTGTTCTCATCAGTCCAACTTTGTAAAGGAGTTTCTAGACAGTGTAGTAAGGCAAGGAAAAGAAATAAAAGATGCAAGAATAAGAAAAGTACCAAGGATGTCATAAATTACAGGTAATAAGATTGTGTAACATATAACATCCAATGTAATCTAGAGAAAAACTACTGGAATTAATAAGGGAGTATGGTAAGGTAGCTGGGTACAAATTAATATACACAAATCAGTTGCATATCTATACACTAGCAGCAAACAGAAAATAAAATAGTTTTTTAAAATACCACTTACTCTGGTATTTAAAATTGCCAAGTATCTAGGCATAAGATTATCGAAGTATGAGTAAGATCTCTACAAGGAAAATTATAAAATGCATTGAATAGAATTAAAGAAAACCCAATAAACGGTGAGATATATTATGTTCTTGGATTCAAAGCCTCAATATCGTAAAGACTCCCAAAAACAACTAATAAAGTTAATATGATTCCAAAGTCAAAATCCCAGCAGGCTTTTTTTATATTATTTGACAAACTGACTCTAAAATTTATATGAAAATGCAAAATGCAAATTATAGCTTAGATACTTTTGAGGAAATAAACAAGGGGAGAGAACTTGCTCTATGGATGTCAAAATTTACTATAGAGCTGTAATAATTGAAACAGTGTGCCACAGTGTAAGATTAGTCAGACCAGAGTAACAGAGTGGACAGCTCATAAACAGACCAATGCATGTGCAGATGTTTAATTCATGATAACAGAAAAGTGGGAAAAGGGCAGTCTTTAGTAAATGATGCTGAAGAATTAGGAATCCCAGTGGAAAAATCATATTTCACATCCAAATTTACACCACACATAAACATCAACTCTAGGTGGATTAACACCTAACTTCCTTTATAAAATACAAAGACATAAAGCTTTTAGAAGGGGGAAAAGAAAACCCAAGAGTATCTTTATGACCTCAGCTTAGAGAAAGCTTCATTACACATAAAATAAGAAGCACTAACCAAAGAGGAAAAGACGTATACATTTTAGTACACTAAAATTAAGAACTTCTGTTCATCAGAAGACAGTTTTAAGAGAGTGAAAAAGCAAGCCTACTCAATAGAAGATATCTGCAACACATATAACTAAGCAGTGCTTATATCAAGAGTAATGAACCCCCACAAATCAATTAGAAAAATGTCAGAGCAACCAATTATAAAATGAGCAAAAAATTTGCACAGGCACGTTACAAACATACAAATGGCCAATAAACATATGTAAGTATTCTCAACCTTTTTTTATCAAGATGCAAATCAAAATCATACTGAGAGTATTACACTACAGGCACGTTACAAACATACAAATGGCCAATAAACATATGTAAGTATTCTCAACCTTTTTTATCAAGATGCAAATCAAAATCATACTGAGAGTATTACACTCTGATTGTATGAGAAAAATTTTGAAGTGTGAAAACACGAAGTATTGAGAAATATATGGAGAAACAGAAACTTATACAATGCTGATGGGAGTGTAAATTTGGACAACCTAATTGGAAAGCAGTGGACATTATCTAGTAAAGACGAAAACACATATGCACTATGTCCCTCTAATTATACTCTTAGGTACCTTAACTTAACAAAAGTATGTGCTTGTGGGCACCAGAATACAGCTACAAGAAAATTTATGAGCATTGCCCATAAAACCCCGAAACTAGAAACAACCCAAATGTTCATAAATTTTTGAATACATTACATATTTCTGTTATATTCTAAAAATGAGATAATGTGCAGCAGTGAAAATGAATAGACTATAGCTCCGCACAACAATAAGGATGAATCTTAAGAACATAATACTGAACAAAAAAGCCTGACAAAATTCAAAAACAAGCAAAACTAAACTATTTTGTTTAGGGATGCATACTTAGGAAATAAAAATATAAATAAAGTAAGACAAGAAAAAGTACCAAGAATGAGAATAGTCACCTCTAAGGCAGAGGAGAAAGAATGTAATTGGGAAGGGCCTTGTGAAGTGCTCCTAATGTTCCATTTGGTGACATGAATAGTTGTCACACAAGCTGCTATGGACTGAATTGTGTCCCGCCAAAAATGCATATGTTGAAACTCTAACTCCCCATGTTACTGTGTTGGAGACAGGGCCTTTAAGGAAATGATTGAGGTTAAATGAGGGTGGAGCCCTTATCTGATAGAACAGGTGCCCTTTAAGAGAAAGAGACATCAAGGTTCTCTCCCTACCATGTGAGGACACAGGGAGAAGTCGGCCACCTATGAGCCAAGAAGAGGGTCCTTACCAGATCCCAACCATGCTGGCACTCTGATCTCAGACTTCCAGCCTCCAAAACTGTGAGAAAATAAATTTCTGCTGTTTAAGCCACCCAGTTTACTTTGTTATGGCAGCAAGACCTGACTAGTACACAAACATTCATTTCAAAACAATGAATTTATGTTTCATGTGTATTTTTATCATGCACATTACATATCATAAGAAAAAGCTTAAGAAACAAAATAATTTTTAAAAAATAAATGACCATTGCATAACATGCAGAATACATGGGTATTCTGAGAAACTATAAAATCATATTTAATATGGCTGATATTATGCAGCATGAAAAATTTCTATTCTACTTCCTATTGCATAACATGCAGAATACATGGGTATTCTGAGAAACTATAAAATCATATTTAATATGGCTAATATTATGCAGCATGAAAAATTTCTATTCTACTTCCTAACATTTTTTTTTTAAAGATGACCGGTAAGGGGATCTTAACCCTTGACTTGGTGTTGTCAGCACCACGCTCTCCCAAGTGAGCCACGGGGCCGGCCGTCTACTTCAAAACTTTTAATGCAAGGCATTTTTTTTCTCAAAATGAGTTATTTTGGAGTTATTTGGGGATTCTGATTAAATACGGAAGATAGCAGGCACATGTTTTACTCCACCTCTCAAAATGCCAATAAAATGACAGCATGAAATAAGAACAGTATAAATATACAAGAACAAAGAGAAGAAGAAAGGAAAACACAGAGGACAAAAGATGTCAAAACAGTCTTGGAAGACCAAAAGTGGGTGTAAGAGTGGTAAATTGCCTAGCAGAGCAGAACTGTTAAACCATAGTGCCTGCAGAAGGGGATGAAAATGAAGATGAAGGCATTTTACCTCCTACAAATCCTAGAGGCCCTGGAAATGTTGACATGATACAAATAGCAAAATATGGGAGCAGAAAGAAGAAAGAATGTGGGAGCAGAGTATGTTCACTTATTGATGCTTCAATAATAGCAAGAAATTAAGGAGTATTTTTTAAGGTTGATAAATCAAGGAATGGAAAAATAATTATATTCAACAGTACTAAGGTAAGCATGAAAAAGATAGTTTTAACAGTCAGATGACAGATAAAACAGATGGGAAATGAAAGAGAATTACCAATTGGAAATAAAAGATATTGTTTAAAAAAAATAGCATACTAAGGGCAATGTATTGCAGTTTTAATTGTAATTATACATCTGTAATGATAAGTTTGTACTCATAAAGGTAATCACTAGAACAAAAATACAAACTCTTCTAAATATCAGAGAAATTGTACACAAACAAAGCAAATAAAACATACCAGATAATAAAATATTTTTTAAAATATAAAATAACATAAGCAACTAAGACCAAGCAAATCTGTCAAGTCAATAAAAACAAGTGAATTTGACTCACCTACTTTAAAAAATTAATATTATATTACAAAGCAATATTCAACTCTGTGTTGAATAAGAAAGATACATCTCAAAGTGATTTAGAAGGGCTGGAATTAAAGAATGAGCAAAGACATAAGCAAAGACAAACAGAAAGAAAGCAGGAGCTAAGATCTTAATATCAGAGAAAGTGGAATTTAGGCCAAAAAGCATTAAACAGGACAAAAATGACACTTTGTAATGCTAAATAATCCATAACAGGAATTTATATCTTTGCAACAAATAATGTGGCAATAATATTTATAAATCAAAAA